GAAGAATTTAAATGTTTAATTTTTTTTTAATTGACTTTTCTAGGTATTAAAAGTTGCTTGTTTCAGCAGTGATATTGTATAAAGAACATCTTGTAAAATATTTCTGTCACCTTGCTTTGGCACATGTACAGTACAGTTTCTATGATGATGTTTTTGCTTTACTTCCCCAACTTCTCCCTCAGCCCATCTGCTCTCTTTCAGAGATGCTGGGTTGGAGGTTCATCCAGGCAAGCCATGAGGTCTGCCTTCCATAGTGGCTGTTTCCGTCTCTGTCTGTCCACTCCTCCCCTGCCCTTTCTGTCCTCAGACTTGGAAGTCCTTGAGAACCTGGATATTTCAGTGGTCACTGTCAGTGGGGATGGGAGGAGGGTGCGGAAGGACATGCTCAGAGAGCCCCTTGCCACAAGTCTAGTGCTAGTTGTTACATTTAAGCAAAACTTTGTAGTCTTCTTTCCTTTTTATGGCAGATTTTGATAAAAGTACAAAACAGGATTTTATTTTATTTTCAAGTTTTGGAAAAGTTGAGCACCTATGCTCTTCTGTACCTATTTAAATTAAAGGAAAAGACGTCCACCAAGGGAATCACAACTCCTAGGATTTGAGAATAAAGCCTCTTAATATTAAACTTCAAGGTATGGTCCCTGTCTCTCCCCTATCCTCCTTGCCCAAGGACTGTGGGAATTTGCTCCAGTGGCTGGTGGATAGGTTTACCGTCCCTTCTCCTACAGGCTTGGAGTTAGCACTGACATTGCAATTTCATAGTCCCAACCACCTCTGCCTTCCCTTCCTCTCATCCTAGATCGTCTGTTCTTGTTAATAGTGAGAATCCCATGTTCCCACTTCAGTGACACCTGAATTGTTTGTTGTTTTTTAAATTGTCCTTACGGAGGAAGGGCCCTATTAAAGGGTGAACTTGTAATAAATGGGAATTTCAAATAAACATTATGTACTGGTGTTTATAAAGAAGAAACCATTCTGGTGGCTCTTCCTTTGTGCTTTTGGGAGTGGTAGTGGATGGTGCAGTCCCGAGTGCTGCTTCCCCATGAACTGCAGAGGCCTGGCTCCAGGAGCCAGAGTACTCTCACTGACTTTTCTTCAACCACAAGTCAGAGCTATCGGCTGCATTGTGTGGCTTCCAGGAAACATTTCTGATGCCCTGGGTAAAGGAAGCATGACCTTCAAGCCTCTCCTGGCCTTGTCTCTGTCTAACCCCCCTCGCCCGCCCCCCCCCCCAATTTCATTTGAAACTAGGAAAAGTATTTTTTAGGGCTTCACTGGAGGCATTTATGTTGTCCTTTAATTTTGAGTGAATTCCTGACGCTTGGAAACTCTTTTTAAGGAAAATTTCAAATATACACAGAGTGAAAAGTGAGGTCCATGTACTTGCTTTAACAATCCCATCACATGGCCAATCTTGTTTTATTTATGCTTTCATTTATTTTTTAAAGTCATGGTGGTTAATTTGAGTAGATCACTGCTGGGCAGCAACCTGCCTATGGAATAAAAAGATTCTGCTGAGCCGCTGCTGTGATCCATGTACTGAGAAATCAAACTGCCAGCTTTGGAGATAGCATAAGGTAAAATGGGAAGACCCAAGCCTTGGCTGCAGATTCTGTCACTGGTTTGCCTTGTGGCCTTGGCGAGTGTGGCTTTGAGCCACAGCCCTCACCAGGCACTTGCAAGATTTTTCAGTCCTGCTGGGAGGAAAAGCAAGCTTACCCCAGTTTCAAACTGGATTTGACCAGCTCATCCACTCCAGCCCTCAAGCTTTGGGAAGAGCTGTGCTATCTAGGAACATTTTATACACGACTACAGTGGTAAAGCCCTGCTCCTCAGATGGGTGTCCTAGGCACACACTGGGATAGTGCCAGTGGCTGTGGGGCCATGCCACCACCTCTAGGGTCTGTATCCTGGTCCTGTCCAATGTCTCAGCACATTCCTCCCTGCTCCCTCATTCCCCAGGGGTGTGACCTTGGGGGAAGCCTCTTCATTTTGGTTGATTACTGCAAATGGAGACAATAACTGTATTCCTGAGGACAGGTCGGAATCATTATTTCTGGGAATCAACTGAGACTCTTATCCTGTATACTCTTCTTTCTCTTCAAATACTATCTCTGGGGATGGGGCATGGTCAGTGGACTCAGGGGTGGCAGTGAAATGGTGTCTGGATTCCAGAGCAGCCGCTATCAGAGGAAGCACCTCTTCCAATTTGCAAGGAGCCAGGGTGTCTCTAGCAGTATATTGTGTGAGAAACTCGAGACAGGTAGGCCTGTTACCTCCCTCTCCTCACCCTGTCCCTGGGCCTTAAGGCCTTTATACACCCAAGACTTCCCAGTCCAGGAACTTCCTCTTTCGGGGTGCCACTTCCTGGGAGTGAGAGCAGCTCCTGAAGTCCCTGGGGCCTCTCCCCAGTCTGCCTTCAGTCAAGATCACCCCTGATGACTCCTGTGGACTTGTTTTCCTGGAACTAATATCAACTGAGGTCAGGGCTAAGAAGTTCTGTTCACTTGGGCCCCTACCCCACACAAGCTCAGACCCATGGGGCAGGCTCAGCTTGCCCAGGCACATGTGCACACATATTGCTGCATTCTACAGATACAAATGCCAGGGCACTAAGGTCACAAAGGGAAGCGACTGGGCACATGATGCACATGCCAGCAGGTGTTGGTTTCTGAGGTACTTTTATTTGGCTGTGGAATTTTTTTTTTATTTTTTTGAGGGTTGGGGGATGTTTTCAGTTGTGGGAGGAACATTTGTCTCCTCCCTTACCAGCTTCTCTGGGCATATCCTTCCTAAGTTACGTACCTTGCTGTTCCCACACTGGACTGAATCCACTCATGGCAGGGTAGAAATCATGACAGTTCTGGAGGCAGACTTGGGTTCATTTCCCAGCTCAACCTCAGACTGCCTGGCTGTGTGATCTTGAGCCAGCCAAACCCCCTCCAAACACTTCCTGTCTGTAGAATGGGGAGAGGAGGATCAAGTGGGAGGACTTCTGTAAAAAGTCTTTAAGAAATGTGTTTCCTTTCTTTTCCTCCAGGGTCTATGACTTTCCATAAATGTCTTCCAGGGCTGAGAAGCCTTAGCTGGCACAGCCCTGCCCTGCCTGCCCCGCCTCCCAAGTCCTGGCCAATGTGAACTATCCCGGCCTTAGAGCAGAGCCCCCTTGGAGCCTGTCCCATTGGCCCTGCACTGCCTCTTCCTATGCTTCCCAACCCGCCCACCCCAGTTGCCCTGGAAGCTGAGCGGGACATGGCCACTGATTGGCAAGAGGGGGTGAACTGGTGCCCTCTTGATGCTCACCCTCCCCTCCACACTTTTCCCACACACTCCACTTGTCTTTTTGTCCCCAGGTCTCTGGAATTCTCTCCTTTTGCTCCTGCTGCCCCTGCCCTAGTGCAGACCCTTGGCATCTTCCCTTCCACTCCCTGCAAGCTGGCCTGTGGGCCCAGCTCGGTGCAGCCACTGCCCCTCCAACTCCCATGTGGGCTCCTTATTACTTTCAATGAGCTCATGTGGTTTCTCACTCAAAGACCCTCACACGTGGAGTTACAAAGAGTTAGGGTCACTTGGCTTTGTTGGTTAAAGCATGCGGGGACTTAACATGTGCTCTGTGAGAAGAGAAGGATTTAGATGGGGAGGGCATCCCCGTGCAAAGAACTGCATAAGTAAAAGTGCAAGGGCTGCACACTTCCCCTGGGCTCAGTGCTGCTCCTGTAGCAAAAGATAAGCCTTAGCCCCCCCCAAGCTATGATGGACCTGTCTTCTGAGAACTTGACCCAACCTGTTGGATTCTCATGGGGTTTCTTTCTTGCCCCTGTGGGATTGGTGGTTGGTGCAAGGCAAAGAGCTCAGCTTGAGAGGCCCTGGGTTTGGGGCTCAGCCCTACTATTGATATGAAGCAGCTGATCTTGGGCACAGGATCTCCTCCCCTCTCTGGAGCCTTTCCTTGTTTCTAAAGTGAGGATATCCACTTACCGGCCAGCCACCAAATAAAAAAGTGAGGCTGGCAGCAGGGATGGACCCTTGGGGTCTTCTGGCACTGACACCGAACTCTGGCTGTATGTAGTGTGCGCCCAGGGACCACAGTGGCCAAGGCAGAGGCCAAGATGGGGCCCTGGAGTCTGGCCCCAAGCTGATAGTGGTCTCCAGGATAGCTACACACACCAGGCTACCTTACAGTGAACAGACAGAGCAGGTCCCAGTAGCCCTGAGCATCCCCAGTATGTGCCTTTCCCCATCTCCTGGCACACGCATGCGCAAACTGCTGTAGCTTGGCACTATACACACCCTCTGGACTGGCCCTATTCTCACCACTGCCATCAGCACCTCACATCTTTCCACAACTTTAAGAGCTGGGGGCCCAATTTCCACTATACTCTAGGTCTCCCGATCTCCAAGCCCATGTCTGTGCTACCAAGATGCCCACATACCAGTCCAGCCCCATCTCCACTCCACCCTGAGATATGTGGGGATGGGGTGGGGGGTGCCCTGACCAGAGCCCCATGGAATAAGGTGGATACACCAGCAATCTTCAAAGGCAGTAAGGACAGTCAGACTCCAGCTCAGCCCCCAGACCCCAGGGAAACCTCTGAGACACACTGACGCCTCATTTTCTACACAAATGAGAAAAGCAGTCTGAGAAAGGGAAAACTTACCCACAGTCCCCAAACAGGCTGGATTCCCCAGGGCCAGAGATAGCAGTGTCACCCCAGGGTACTACTCCTTGAGTACCCCAGCAGGCATCCCAGTCACTTTGGAAGCACAGAACTCCAAGACAGGCGAGGGGGAAACATGCATGCATGCACGCACACAGTGTCTGGTACTTCTGCAAAACACAGCTGTTCCACAGGGAACTTACCCCTGCTTGGTTGGAGGCCAGAGAGCAGGGGCCAGGGGATGAGCCCAGCACCCACCGCCAGCTCTGTTCACACAGGAGACTCCTGCAGGGCCCTCGGCCTCCTATCTTCCCCCTTCCCAGCCCAGAGAGGACTCAGCAGTGCCACATGGGGGTTTATTCCAGTCACAGCTTCCAGAGAAACGCAACAATAAATTACATCATTAAATAAACTCCCTGCTGGACCATGCCCCCTTCTGCCCCTTCCTCCTTTCCACATCTTCTCCTAGGACCCTGTGGGGACTCAGCCATGCCCACCCTCTGCGTTAGCGGGAATGGGGGATGAGATTTACTGGGTCCCCACCCTGGTCCTCAGCCCCCTTGCACTCACTTGCTTGACCTTGACAGCTGGGCAGCTGCTAGTCAGCTGTCTCTTGGGGTGGGGCGGGAGGGCAAGGAGAGGGCAGCAGCCTCCCCACACCAGGCCTGTGTCGCTAGAGGTGTGTGGGGTTCTCCAGAGAGGGGTCCGTCTTAGTCATATGCAAGACCACGGTGGGGGCCTTATAGTGGCAGTGAGTGCCACGGCCATAGCCCCCGGGGGCCCGGCAGGCCTTGGCTCGGGCCCGGCCAGCTGCCATCTTTCGGTGGCACAGGCTCTGCCAGGTCTGGAAAGTCTTGGAGCTCCATACCCAGACGCCACTGGTGATGCCCACCACTAGTGACATGAAGATTTTGAGCATAAAAACAGCCACAGTGGGCACTGAGCCCCCTGGCAGAGAGCAGTCCCTTCGGCCTCCGGGCATGGTGGCCGCTGTACATGGCTGCTCTGTGGCCCGAAGGCGCCAGAAGTCCATGTTGAGGCGTTCATAGACGTAGCACACAATGACGCATGTGGCAGGCACCGTATAGAGGATGGAAAAGACCCCAATCTTGACCATGAGCTTCTCCAGCTTCTCCGTGTTGGTGCCTCCTGTCTTCATGATCTTGCGGATGTGGAAGAGGGCCACGAAGCCGGTCAGGAGGAAGCTGGTGCCCAGCACTAGATAACAGGAGAGGGGCACCAGCACGAATCCTGTGAGCGCCGCGGCATCCATGCTGGCCACGTAGCAGAGTCCAGTCAGCTCGTCCCCCGCCACCTTGCGCAGCGTCAGGATAACGATGGTTTTGAGCGCTGGCAGGCCCCAGGCTGCCATGTGGAAGTAGCTGCCGTGGGCCTCGATGGCCTCGTGGCCCCATTTCTTGCCGGCCGCCAGGAACCAGGTGAGCGTCAGGACCACCCACCAGAGCGAGCTGGCCATGCCGAAGTAGTAGAGCAGCAGGAAGACGAGCGTGCAGCCCGTGTTCTCCAGACCCTCCTGGATCACGTAGAGCGCGCCCGCCTCCTGGTCACAGGCCACGCTCTGGGCTCCGGCCACGGCGCGGATGAGGAAGGCCAGCGAGTAGACGTTGTAACACATGGAGAGGAAGATGATGGGGCGCTCGGGGTACTGGAAGCGGTGAGGCTCCAGCAGGAAGGTGAGCACGGTGAAGGCCGTGGAGAAGAAGCACAGCGCCGACCACACGGCCATCCAGACGAGCGCGAAGTCCTTGTCGCGCCGCGACCAGAACACCTCGACCCCCGGGCCGCAGCGCGGCGCGCACGAGCGGCTCTTCTCCACGTACTGGAACTTCTCAGGGTTCTCGCAGGTGCCGCCGCTGCCCGGGCCCGAGCCTGGGTCTCCGGGGGGCCGCGCGGGCCGCGGCGCCACGGGCAGCATGCCCAGGGCCTTGTGGGCGTAATAACTTCGTATAGCATACATTATACGAAGTTATACG